TTATTTGAAGACCAACATTTCAAGAACAATATTTCTAAATACTCAGTGCTACATCCACAGACATCTTATTACATTCAAAATTGTCAAAGGTAAATTCAAAGGAAAATACTTCAGTAAAGATTAGCACTTGATTTCATAATAATTAAAAATTTCAACTGTGCTTTTCCACAAATAAAAAGAAAAAAAATTCTGTACTATTAACTTTCTAACTATATAAAAAATTATGAGATCTGCAATCAGAAGATATTTAACAAGCACAACAAACAATCCTGCAATAAAGTATAAAAAGGTGCTTCAAGTACGATTGAGAGATAAGTCGACTGTCGTATACGCCGCAGCAAAGCATTCAGAAACATGGCATTAATATCATATATTCACAATCCCTGCCTATTATGAGTAAAACTCATCAATACATTGTAACATTTAAAAGATAATTTAATCCTAAATAAAATAAATAAGGAAGAAATATCTTACCTAAATTTGTAAAAAAACAAAAAAACGAATTCTGATGATTCTAATAGATATTATTTTTTGGGTACACATAAAACAATATTCAAAAGGATATGTAAATAGATAAAAAAAAAAATATAAATTTTAATTAAAATTACGGATTAGTATACAAAAAAAAAAACACAAAAAGAAAAAAAAACGAAATTCAAAAACAAACAAATAATAAAGCTACTTAAAATACTTCACCCCCTGATCACCAGTTTCACGCCGCATAGGAAAACAAAAAAAGAGAAGCCCACCAGAAACAAAAAAAAAACAAAAATAACAAGAAAAAAACAAAAAAAAAAAAAAAAAAAAAAAAAAAAAAAAAAAAAAAAAAAAAAAAAAAAAAAAAAAAAAAAAAAAAAAAAAAAAAAAAAAAAAAAAGAAAAAAAAAAAAAAAAAAAAAAAAAAAAAAAAAAAAAAAAAAAAAAAAAAAAAAAAAAAAAAAAAAAAAAAAAAAAAAAAAAAAAAAAAAAAAAAAAAAAAAAAAAAAAAAAAAAAAAAAAAAAAAAAAAAAAAAAAAAAAAAAAAAAAAAAAAAAAAAAAACAAAAAAAAAAAAAAAAAAAAAAAAAGAAAAAAAAAAAAAAAAAAAAAAAAAAAAAAAAAAAAAAAAAAAAAAGAAAACAAAAAAATAAAAATTTTCGGATTAGTGTAAAGAGTATGCTGAATTTAAATGATTAAGGCAGACAAAAAGCAAGCTATAAAGCAGTAAAAACATGTAAGAATGAATGCAGCACTTGACAACTTCAAGATACCTACCTTATTTAGGCGAGTTTGAACTTACTGCGCTGCCTTAGAGCAATCTGAGGCTAGAATATTGCAGCAAATGCTTACCGTTTTGTTTGTGCATAACTTAGATATGAACGAGCAAAGTTTTAAGGGCAGAGGGGAAATAAAATTCTCTCAGATGCGCCACTCCAGCAGATAACCTGCAGACCTAAATTTTCAACTTTTAAACACGTATAAGCCGCGACTTATATACGCGAAATTACGGTACAACAAAAAAACTAAGCAGTTTTAATTTCTAACCATAATGAAGAAGATTTTGCAGCACCATGATTATGTGATGAAGAAAAATTTCTGCCATTTGCTGACGAAAAGCACAAGCATATTATAACAGGAAATCTGGATATTATTCAAGATCAAGAGATTAGAGTGCAATATGGAAAAAAGGAACGAAATTTAGACCTATTAAATTTCATTAATAAATTACATTGCATAGAAAGTATTTCTATAGATATTGATAATTTCATTTTGAAAGTTAGTTCTCAACTTAGTTTGCCTTCACATCTAGTTAAAGAATGGAAAAATGACATTATTACTCAAAGCAAAAAGAAAATTGAGAAAATTCAAGAATTTAAAGGAATTAAAAACTGTAAAAATTTACTTCTAAAGTTCTCACAATTAGAAAAGCAGTTTACCATAACTAAAATTGATAAAGCAAACTATAATTTCAGTATTTTATGAAAAAATTCTGCACTGATATAATTGAAAATGAACTAACAAATCATACTGCCTATAGTATTTGCAAAAATAAAGAAAGAACTGTTATTAACACAATTTCTGCCTTTCACAAAAAATGGAGAATTTCTCTCTTCACTACAAATAACAGATTTGCCAATCTTTATGCCTTACCAAAATTTCAAAAAAAATCCTGTAAAATTTATATTTATTGCTAATAGTATCAGAAACTTCAAGAAGAATTTTGATAATATTTTTATCAATCTACTCAAGACTGTTTGTAAAGCAGTTTTTAAACAAATTAAAGAAGACAAAAACTTCTGCTGGATTATTTACAGCAACATGAAAATCATTGAAAAAGTTAAAAATCTTAAAATTTACAAAATTAACTGCTATGACTTTGAAAACCTCTACACGACCCTGCCACTCCAAGAAATCTATGAAAGTCTTATAGAAATGACAGAATTTTTTCCTGAAATACTTAATGTACTGGATTTACAAAAATGAAAAGAATTTTTACATTATTCGCATTACAATAACTATATTAAACATTCAAACTTTCTTTACGTGCGAACACAAGGAGTTCCAATGGGAAGTTAATATTCCACTCATATTTGTAAACTATTTCTAATTTCTAAAGAATTCAAATTCCTCAAAAGCCTTTCTGATAACAATTTTAATAAATTTGAACACACTTATAGATACATTGATGACATTATTACTTTCAATAATTTTAATCTTGTCGAAAACAGCAACATATAACCAAATAACAAATTAAAACTGAACAGAAATAGGTTATCTTAATCTAAGTATTCATAAACTAAAGGAAATGAAACTTTTTGATAAATGAAAAGATTTTAATTTTTATACTTAAAAATTTATTGCAAATACTATTTTTAACCAAATTAGTAGAATTAAAAAAAGTTAGCACTGAAATAGAAACACAAAAAGAAATTCTCATCAAAATTTTAAAAGAAAATGAAATTCTTTTAAAATTCAGTAATAGTATATTAAAGAAATCTGGAGTAGTCCTATAATACTTTTTAAAAGTATGCATTTTTTATCTGAATGCTTCAAAAGAGAAGGATAAAGAAATATGTTTAAAAGTGTATATAGTTTTTTTTTTTTTTAATTACTATTCTGTTACTAACCATGGCCTTATATACTATATTCAAAGTCGTCATGAGAAGCCCATGACATGAAGACTTTTTACTTTTCTAACATAACATAGTTCCTTTACTTCCGTTTTCAACTTTTTTCTGTAATTTTAAATTACAAAATTTTAAAAACTAAAATTCAACCTTATAGTTTTTTTTACTCATATCTATAAAAGCATTTTAAAAACTATTTGATCACTTTTTGGGCAATTTTTTAGTCTTTTATAAGGATAATTGATTTTAGAATTAATTAAAGTTTTATGCTAAATAATTATTATTCCATTTTTGTTTTACAAGAGTAATATTACTTAAATTTCATTCAATTAATTTGCAATCTTTTTCTTTGACTAAAAAATAAAAATTAATTTTCATTGAAATATTTATAGTTAAATAGTTTTTCTTTTGGTATTAAATAGTTTTTCTTTTGGTTTCAAAATTACATATTTCATACAAGATTTTAGCTTTTTGAGTGATGACTTTCTGGCCAAGGTTTTTTAGTTTCACTAATGAAGCCAAAATGGCAAACCTGTACATCACTTAAAGTTTCGCATCTCAAAGTTTAGACTGGTGTCTAATGAGAGAGATCGAAAATTAATTACTTTTCGTGTATTCTAATTACGTTTTTTCAACTATGTTTTATGAATTCATTCACATCTTAATTCATTGGATTATTTTTCCCCCTCATTTTCAATTCTTTTAATAAAATAGAATTCTCTTTGTTCAAATTAGTATTTACTTTGTTTTTTCCTTGATTTGGGGAAGGGCCAGAACTTTCAGGTGAACTGTTATAATTAAAATACACTGAAATGTTTCATCGGCTAATTCTGCATACAAAAAAGCAAGGATTTTGAAAGAGAGATTTCAATTAATTTCAATGTTCCTTCCCCTGATGAAGTGGCATTGAGGTTGATTGAATTCCTCTTCAGTTTTTTTTTTTTTTTTTTTTTTTTTTTTTCATTTTTCTTTAAATTTAATTAATTTTTGGAAATGGGGTTTTTCTTGTGTGAATGTTTTGGTTTTAACATTTTTAAATTCTTTGTTGCATTTATTGATTATTTGAATTAATTATGAATTTCAATTTTGGTTTTGTGAAATATAGTTCAAAGTTCTTACTTTATGTCTTTAATAATAATTTTTCTGCAGCTTAATGTGCGAAAATACTAGGCATGTTTATATTTTGTTTTCAAAAGACTTGTTTTGTAATTTATATATATGTAGAGAGATATTAATTGTTTAAATTGTTTCGTACTTATCAGCATTTGTTAAAAAGTTTCAATATGTAAAAAAGGGAATAAGAAATTTGATGATTTTTTTAACAATACATTATTTAAATTATGTTCAAAATTTAAATTTTTTAAAATTAACATTCTTATTATTTAGATTGTAACAGTTTTTTGACTGTAATGAATTATTATCTTGGTTTTATAATTTTTTTTCAAAGAGTATGGATTATGTTAAAATACTTTATTTGCCCGATGAACATAAGGATTGTATTATAATGATGTAAAATATGACAAAATGTAATCTTTTTGAAATAATTAAACTAAGAGTCTAATACTGAATTGATTTATGAAGCAAGATAAAAATGGCCTCTTACAGAATGGGCATTGTGAAACATTCAAGGTAAATTTTAAATTCAAGAATTTTCTGAATAATTAAACATAGCAAAATGCAATTCACTCAGTCTTTCTGAAGTAATTAAGACACACTGATGAAAAAATTCTGAAAGCGCATAAGAAACAATCATCTATTTGAAGAGGACTTTTTAAGAATGAAGGGAAATTCAAGATAATTTTTATAACTAAACTTTTTAACTTTTTTACGCTTGTTATAACCACATATTTTAATTACATTTACTTTAGCTTTTTTTTTTTTTTTCCTTTCTTTAGAGCCTAAATGCTGATGAAAAAAGAGTTTATAATTCTCATATAATCATAAATTCTGCAGGAGAAATTGTGTCTGTATATCGTAAAATTCATTTGTTTGACATTGATGTTGCTGGGGGTGTAAGGCTGAGAGAATCTGATTATACAATTCAAGGGAGAGAAATTTTACCACCTGTCAATACTCCTATTGGAAAAGTTGGTTTAGGTATTGTATCCTTTATAATGGCACTTTTATATATGATGTTCCATCTTTCAAATTCTAATGTGTTACTTTTACTGTTAAATTCTCAATTTTTAAAAATTCTTATTTGCATGTTTCATAATTTTCTTATGCATAAATCACTGCATATAGCTAAGAAAAAGTAAAAAAATAACCTTGATGGGTTTTGGGGAATAGAATATGCAGAAATAGGATTGAAAATACATGTTCATCTCTTCATTATGCTTACTTCAAGTATATCAGCACCGACTGCTCCTTGAAAACATGTGGTAAGGAAGAAGAAAATTCTTTACATTCTCCCCCATTTAAAGGGCAGATGAGGAGGAGGGGACCCTCAGTTGCCAAATCTGGGGCACTGAGGAATTATCGTTCATCGCATTTTAGTTTGGGCACTATTTGTAAAGTCGTCTAAAATTTTTGGAGCAGAAAGCATGAAAAAGCAAGCTATGACCTCACTGGATTCGAACTCCAGACTTCCTGATTGTTAGTCAGATATGATTCCAATTATACCATCAAGGCATCTGGTAAAGAAAAAGAAAATTTCTTACAGTGTAATAAAAGTCATTAAGAAATATTTCATATAAATTTTTTCTTGAAGTTTGCTCTTTTCTGAGTGATAAGATATATCTTCCTTACATTTTATATTGAAAGTGCTATGATCTACGCTTTCCTGAGTTTTCATTATCGCTGACCAAAGCTGGAGCTGAAATTCTAACATATCCATCAGCATTTACCCAGACAACAGGCATGGCTCATTGGGAGGTTAGTTAATGGATGTTATGCTTATATGATAAGCTTTATTGTATTTCTGCTGACCGAATTATATGTGTACGTAATAGCATTTTAGGTATTATAAAATATTATAGAAATTTATTCATTAATGATGTGAAATATATGAAACATTTTATGTTCTTAAACTTCTGAATTCTGATTAATCAAAATTCAAGATTTAAAATATTTTTTGAGAGAAATGTTGTGAAACATTTAGTGGATTGTGAACTTAATAAGTTTTATTTTATTGACCCTTTGAGTGGCATATTTTTTTTTTCTTTTTTGAGTCTACTCATGAAGAACTGTATTTAAACGGAATTTATTAGCTTAATTCATATAATTACATGTTTTAGTCTCTGTTTCTATAGACTTCTGTTCATTACAATGATATTTATATCATTAAAGAATGTTAAAAAAATAGCAAACAGAATATTTTAACTGACAGAAAATGTCATGACTAGATAAAGAAAGGCATGCCACTCAGTTTAAGTTAAAAATTTTTATTAAGAATTGTAGTTTTTTTTTTTTTTTTTAGCTTAAACATATATTTACACTTATTACCCTTTATGTTTTATATGTTATTATTTACAAAGTTGTAATATTTCACAACAAAAAATGTGTTTTTAAATCTACAAAATATAAATCCCTTAAAAGAAATTGTTAAAAGTAGAAGCAAGAGTATTAGCAAAAGTGCAAGTATACAAAGCAGTGACATTTCTGTTTTACTATCTTTACATATATTGTAAATATATCATAAACACACACATTTCGTTTTCAACAAGCATAGATCTTGTAGTTAAAATGGGAAAATAAATTTAAGGAAAGATTTATTTAGCTTAAAATTATACATCTGGTTTATTAGCCCAAAGGGGCAGTAGCCTAGAAGGGCAATTAGTCTCGAAATGGCATTTCACAATAAACGGCGAATCACTTTTTAAATTGTTGCCACCAGTTATTATTACCCTGTGTTATATTTAAAAAAATTAAATAATGAAAAATATGCGTGAGTATATGTATGATTCTTGCATTGTGAAAAAACGACGGTACCTAGAGCTTTAAAATTTTGAATAATGTAATCCGTCACCTAAACATAGACACCTGGATGCCTGAATTTTGAATTATTTTTATTGTCTATTTCATATTTTGAAAAACTTTAACAAATTTTTGATTAACAAACTCAATGATTTCAAAGCAAGCAATGGCAACACTGTACAGGAAAAAAAAAAAAAAAAATTATCTCCAGCACACAAGACTGGCTATCATTAATTCTAAAGCTAGACTGTTTTTAAATTTTTTTAAAGGAACATTAACTTAAATGCTCTCAAAATGTGTATGTAAATGGGGGAAAATGCCACTCCTTTGGCATACTTTGGGCTTAATATGAAATTTGAAAGCTTTCAGCTTTTTTTTGGGGGGGGGCTGAATTACTTTTAAAGTTATAATATTATTCAACAGAAAATAAAGCACACGTTTCAGTGCATATAAGAGGGATGTATGTTAAAGAAAATACAGGAGATTAAAATTCTGTAAATTTGTTAAAATTTTAGTTGTAATACTTGTCACATTTTGAGCAATATGCATTACATATCACATGTATTAATAATGCAGTTTTAGCTATCCTATTGATACAGTACAAAGTCTTTAATCCGGACATCCATAATCCAGAATGATCTATAATCCGGACCTCAAAGCTACAAACTTTCTGCGCATGCATAGTGTTAACTCATGCGCATAATACCTTTACGAATGTGCATAATACATTTATGCATGTGCGTTTAATGTATAATGGCTGGTATAAGCTAGGCTAAAATTATCTAATTATCTATTTCAGTTAATGTAGTAGATTGTGTTGTTCCTTAATCTTCTAATTGGATCCGGCTTATTATTTTTTGCCGACTATTAGAGCAATTTTATAAAAAGTAAGCGTGAACTTTCGATTATGTCAAAAAGAGTTTCCGATTCTGGAGATGCCAGAGGATCTACAAAGCGGAAGCATGTTTCCATGTCCATCAAACAAAAAGTGGAATTGCTGCAAAAAAATGGATAAAGGCAAGAAGAAAGTGACAGAGAAGTTAGTGAAAATGAAAAAATTTTGATTGACTAGTTAGTCGGTATTCTCAGCACAGCAATTACAGGACGTGAACAGTGGAACTTTGTAACTGAACAAGAAATTATGTCTGTTTGTTGAATTAAAGATAAAGTATTAGCACATGAAACAAAGCAACTTATACAACTTCCATTGAAAGAAATGTTTAATAAAGTAAACAAATAAAATTAAGCTTTATATATATATAAAAATTTTGATGCCTTTTAAATCATAATTGCTCTTTATTTCATAAATTACATTTTCATATTTTTAATTTTATAATTTCTGCATGCCATCTTACCAGATTTAAATTGATGATCTATAATCCAGAAAAAACCCTAATCCGGAATCGCCGAAGTCCCAACGAGTCCGGATTAAAGACTTTGTACTGTAATATGATCTTTATATATCAGGTAAGTAAATCTTAGGCATGCTAAGTTTTTCTTTTCAGTCAGTGGAGGAATATGGATTAACCGGAGCTCAAATCTTAGCTAACAGATTGGTTCAGTTGGTGGTTTTTTAAAAAAAATTTCTTATGCATAATATGAATACAAGCCAGTTTCCATTGAAAAAAATCTTTTTATGAAGGAAGCTCTCCTCTTATGCAGATAGCCTTAATGGACTTTACCAAAATCTAAATAATCTGATCTAGTCCTATCCTAAGTACTAGTCACTTCGATAGAAATCTCTATCTCAGAAGCATTACTGTGTTTATTACTTACAAAATTTTTAAATAATTATTTATATCACATTCCGTGAATTATATCTGTCCATCTTTGTGAAAAAGTACAGATCTGTGTATCTTACTTAATCCTTGCCAGCACTTCTTTTAGAAACTTATCTAAGGAGAAGCAATGCTGGCAAAATTTAGCCATCTTTCAGACTCTTATGTAGCTTAAAATAACAATATTTGTTTTTTCATGTAGCTAAGGTTTATGAAACATTAGCAATATATAATGATCAAGTTCATGTAGGAAGTTGAAAATACAATTTTGGGAATTAGTTACACATTCAATAATGCTCTTTAGGTATCTTGATTTCAGTAATATTTTTATATTGTATCAAAAGCTGTAATACAAAGGTAATGTGAATCACCAATTAATTTGTTAATTAACCAGAGGCATTCAAATGTAAATCAGAGTTTTCATAATCTGTTCTTGTAAAGTGTTCAATGTAATCGTAAGTCATTGGGCAAATACATACATGCTTGAACTTATCAACTGTAGTGATAGTTCTTCCTTCCATTATCCCTTTTAAGTTGTAATCTGCATGTTGGAACAGAAGAACTTGCATGTTGATTTGTAATACTAGTATTGTGCAGTGAATTTTCATTAGATTTACTAATAATGGTGTTATTTCTTCTCAGATTTATTCCTTTTCCCTACTACTAAACTGCTGAGATGATTTCATCTTGCCATGTATTCTCAGTGCCCCTTTGCAGTACAGACACTTTAATCTTACAGGCATATCTGTGCCAGCTTCAAGATTTGAACCTGGGTCTGTAGGTATGACAGTCAGTATGGAATGTTTGCAGGAAAATGGCAGAGGTGATGGAATGTTTGCTCACCAGTAAAATATACAGTCAGATAAGCAAGCTGTTGATCACCAAAGGCTGTGAAGAAAAATGTAGATAATAAAAGAAAAACATGTGTAAAAAAAATAATTGTTTAACCCTCTGAGTAGTATTGCTTTTTGAATCTGCTCATAAAGATCTGTATTTAAACTGCATTTATTAGCTAAATTTGTATAATTATTTATTTTAGTCTCTGTTATCATAAACTTTCACTCATAATATTTACATTGTTAAAGAAAGTAAGAAAGCAAAATATTTTATTATAAGCTTGTGTAGTATTATAAACTTATATATACCAAGTGACAAAAAAATCTGGTGATTGGATAAAGGTGGCCATGCAACCCAAGGAGTTAAACTGGTATTATCTATTTTTGTCATTGCAGGCCATAAGTTAGAAAATTATTCCAGGTTTAAATACATTTCAATAATTGAGCATAAAAGAGCTGCTGTAGTTTAGCTAAAAGGGAAGGAGAATTACAAGATTAAAAGCAAATTTGATAAAATCAGGCCATTCTATGAAAGGCCAAATATGCCTTTAAAGAAAAGGTACCTAGGTACTAGAAGTCCTAGGTATAACCCCTGTAGAAGTTTGGCTAGACCCATCTGCAATAAGTTAGTAGGAAGCCTGATCAAACATCTGCTGCAAACTAAATGTTTAGTATTGGCATGCTTAGTAAAAGAGGATAGCAAACTATGCAGCTAAGTGCAAAATGGCCTAGCATTTAGCTAGCTATGAAAAGGGGATGAGGCTAGGGCTATATCAATGAGGAGATTGAAAGACACATAGCCAGGAGTAGTAGTTGAGGCCTATAAACCAGAAAGGAATAAAGTGCAGCTTCTAGTGATTACCTCATTATAAAGCCTGAAGGCCAAGTAGCTCACTGCCTGATCAGCAGTTCGGATTCTGCAAAGGCCTTTCGACCACCGTGCAACCTGTGCATATTGTCGAATTCACCAGTTCAGCTATACACAAACACCAAACCACTTCTTTCCTTATGCTGAACGTGGCCAAAACTTTTGACTACATCTGGCATAACAGACTTATTTTTAAACTCGCCACTCTCGATGTCACCCAAGATATGGTATTAATTATCCACTTATTTATTAGTAATAGCAGTGACTTAGTGACTATTATTTATATCTTTAACAATAAAGTCACAAAGGCCTACTTAAGTCTAAAATTCAACTACACCCTCAGTTGGAATCCCTATGTTACTACAGCCATTGGCAAAGCAACTGGTGTGTCCTGGAAACTGAATACCATCCTTATCTCAACATCAATGCTAGACCTTGCTAGGAAAAGACTGATCTACACCTCCATTCTTTGCCCAATATTAACTTTTGCATCGCCAACTTGGTGCACGGCTTCAAAATCTGACTATTTAAAGCTTCAAATTTTTCAAAATAATTTTCTCAGAAAAATAATGGGAGCTCCATGGTTTATACTTTGTGCCAACACCAGCGTACCAGCAAGTATCAAAGCTTTTTGAATAGCAGAAATTTGCCATGAAATTAGAAGGAAACCACCTGAGCCAACAGCATGAAGTAAAATTTTAGGGAAGCCACTTATATTCAATCTATTTGTTCTGTATGTATTTATTACTATGTGTTGAATATTAATTTTTGTGATATGTTTTGTATTTTGCTTTAATTTTCAGCCTCTCCTAAGAAGTAGAGCAATAGAATCACAATGCTATGTAATTGCTGCTGCCCAAACGGGTAGGCACAATGCTAAAAGATCCTCATATGGGCATGCTATGGTAATCCTGTGAATCTGTATTCTTTTCAAATTTTGCATAATGTAATTTTTTGTTCAAAACTTTTTTTTCTTTTACTTTTTGCACTCTGATTTCTTTTCCACATTTAATTTCTTGTGAAATTTTTTTAATGAATCATATTTAATTTTTTTATTTATAACAAAATAAACCATACATTGTAAAAATCAATTTGTATTTTTTTAAACTGCTATTTATTGAGTCATAAAACTATATTCCATTTTTTATATTAAAAAATCCCTTGTCACATCCAATGTTATGAGTGTCAAATATTTATATCTTTAACAATAAATATACTAAAATAAGTCTATATATCCTATAAAATATTTTTCATAGAATTTATACCTTTGACACTTGAAGGAAGAATCACCATTTGTTTCAAATGCATTATATTAGAGGTCTTATAATTAACTTCTGGTTTTCGGCAATAGTCATATATCTGAAAATTCATTATTTCAACCACTGAAATAGGGTAGTGCTGCATTTGGTTCTAAAACATATATAAGTTAGTATGAAGTGGTTTAAAAAAAATAAATGATTGCATAAACAGTGTTTAAAAAATACTGATTTTTTCCTCCATACATGTGAAATCACACTAATAAACTGGCAGTCAAAGCAAGCATTATTTTGATTGGATTCCTTGTAGTGCTCCTCACCCTTTGTCTATGATGAAAAGTTGAGGAACCTATTGAATGTAGTGACTTTTCGATGATTTCAGAACAACTTAGACCCAAGAGGGGTCAAAATACCCTTTTATTCGCTCAAATAAGAACAACAGGCCCTTCTTGGGCTTAGAGGAAAGCCTCTACTCAGGCTTTCTGTATTCAGTAATTGACTCTTTAAATCAGAATAAGAAGTAAGAACTAAACTATAATTAACTAAACGAGGCTTAGCTGAATCTATACACAATTATCTAACATAGTTTGGCCCATAAATTAAACTAGCTGGCAAATATTAATAGGCATGTATAATACGGCTGAGCGTAACTTCAAGAGTGACTTAGCCAGAAGGCAAATATGAGCCACTAAGGACTCCTAGCATTCTCTATCGAAGTTAGTTGAACCTTCCTTAAATACTTCTAACTCATTTGCATTCAACGCGATTCTAAAAACTCATTCTGGTAGGGAGTTGTAAATGGAAACAAGAATTGGTAGGAAAGGGTTTCAAAATTAAAGTAACTGTTATAAAATTAAAATATACCTTACATTCTTTTGTTTTTGTGTGATGCTGTATTTCTTCTGCAGGGCATAAGTTTTTTTTGCAATTCTTAAGGTTTGCAGAAACTGAACTGTAAAGGTAAATTTAGATTAAAAAATAAATTTAAATTAAAAATACACTTTTTTTTTCCAGTTGTATTTATGTGGAAAATGCATCATAATCATTCTTTTAGCTCATTTATTTCTAAGTAAATTGGGAAAACAGCAACTGATATAAGTTCACTTTCTGAAAACTTAAAAAATTTGTAACTACATGCAAAACATGTAATTGCATGCAAAGCAAATATAAACATCACCCAAAAACTATTATTAAATCAGAGAAAACATTTTTTTTTTCAACTTTGATTATGTTGGGATGATCAGTGACATAGCTAGAAAGGAGGAATTTTCTAAATACATAATCCATTAGGAGGCACTTAAGAGCTAATAACGAGAAGAAAAAAAGCTTGACAATAAGTGAAACAAAAGAAATAATACTGTACTTACTGTTTATCTGCAGAACAGCAATTGCAGTAGTGAAACAAACTTCTAGAATATCATTGGTGATTTTACTAACAAAAAAGCAAACAAAAGAATACCTTAGAATGTTGGTAAAATTTTGCTAAAAACACATACACACAAAGAAATTTGATTTATTTTGCTGTGTATCATTTTGCATTATAAATTTTTTGGTGTGTGCACTGAGAGGAACAGCAAAATCTCTGCCTACACCATTAGAAATTATTATGTATGCTTTCCCTCAAATCTTACTTTTTATCTGTGGAAATTTTATAGATTTCTGTTTGTGGCTTAATTTAACTATTAAAACATTTATTTCTCTTCTAAAAAAATGTAAAGAAAAACTTGCATACTATAATCAGTGCATAGGGATCTTTTAAATTTGCTGTACTGTATTTTGTCACAATGCAGTTTTGTTTTACTGGCATAACACAGAAACAAGTTGCATCAGTTCTAATACTCAAATAAATTAGTTTTGTAAAGTTTCTGAGACAAAATAAATTGATAAATAAATAAACTCCAAAACTTAACAACTATTCCTAATTCCCCCCTTCCCTGTTAATGTATAAGCACTTTTAAGTCGTATGTGTTGGTATCTAATGCCTGTAGGTGGTATGTTCCAAGAACTGAGGTAGTAACATAAATAAAATTTAATTAATAAATTTTTGCTTTAAAACATAATTAACATGAATTTAAGTAATAATGAAATGTATACTGCATTATACATTTCTAGTGCACTTCCTCTACCTTTCAAAGAGTGAATGGCAAAAATTATGAAACAATACTAGTTCACCTAGGCTGTTGTTTCTGGTGATTATTTAAGAACTAATTGCAAAGCATTTTGTGGTCTTCATCATTTGTTACATAAACCTGGGCATATTTCCCTTAGGAAGCCTGTTGAAATTTTAGACTACTCCTCCAGAAGATGATAAAACATTAAAAATATCTACTTGAACTCTGTAGTGTTATTCAATTTTTAAAAAAGCAAAACAATATAAATTATTATGTCCACCAAAGCAGTGCATACACAATGAAACATGTATCTAAATCACTTATGAATATTTCTGCTGATAATTATGATTGCTATTAGAATATAGTATAGGGCACATTTGACTTGTTATATTTCACCATTGTATAACACCTTGTCATTTGATGTATGCATTATAAGTTAATGAATCTTTGAATCTATAATTTTTTCATATTTTATTGTTTGGGCTGTGATGGATTGAAACTAGTATTGTAATTGAAACTACAAATATGGAGTTTCAGCTGAGCAGCAGAATTCATACTAATTACATCCAGAACATCTAACTCCAGTTAATTCAGTCACTTGTGTCTCTTTCTAGCAGGGCTGTGGAGTCAATAGAGAAAATGTTCGACTCTGATTCCATTTCCTGGAATTTTAAAGATTCTGACTCAGCCTCTCTTATATTTATGTAAACATATACACATGGATTGCAGCTTATTTTTTTAATATAAAAGAAGTAATAGATGCTGCAGACAAAAAAAAAAAAAAAAAAAAAAAAAAAACTGGTGGCGTAGGAAATTATTTATATTAATTAGCATTTGGAAAACTGGCATTAGAATTTCTAAGAAACAGTATAGCTTCGGCAAGATCTTCTTTGATAAAGGACCATAGAACCAATTTGATGAACTTCAGAGCTGAGATGAGTCTTTCCACTAGAGTTGGAGGAAGAGCTGTTACTTTAAGGGCTACTTTTTTAACTTTTCAGAATAGATTTTTATAAATTCTAAAAAATGTGTCTTGCAAGAGCAATCATATTTCTCTATTTCTTCAAAGGCTGTGTAGAAATCTTGTTTGTATTTTATCGTTTTTATATCTAAAGGCTCTTGATTCTTTATTTTCATTCGCTTTGCCTAAGCCTTTTCAGTATTATCCAAATATTTCTCAAAAAATCATTAATGGAAGACGATGATAGAGACTCAGTTGCAATGTCTGCAGCTTGACCATCTTGATTTGAATACTTCAATTGTTTTGAGAATTTCATTCTTAATGACAGTTCATAGATGGCTTTTAATTATTTCGTTATCCAACAAAATTCGGTGATTTAGATTTACATATATTGAACTGAGCAAGATCTCATTGCCTAGCAAAATAGTTTCTCTTTTCTTCATTGAAGAAATGATTCCTTCTGCAATAAACCCTCCATTTCAGAAAGAACAAACATCACATTCTTCCATTTTCGCCTCCTGTTAATTCTTCAGATTGTAGCTTTTTTGTGGCTATATACAGTGTAAAAAGAAGAGTTTTCAGTTCTGCAAGATTTCCACAGTCTTTCTGTTAGTGAAACATTAGGGTTATCTACATCTTCTAAAAAAAGTTCTTAATTCTAACAACCTCTATATCATCAAATATGTACTTCCCCCATCATGTTGCTTGATCAATAATTGCTCCTTTTCCTGCTCGCTTCCTAAGAATGGCATTCATTTTGGGAGTTCTTGCTGCTTACCTAAATTGTAACTAAATGAAGCAGTTTAATCAATAATGGCAAATATCACATCCATCCTCCTCCCTTATATTTATTAATATGTCAATAAAATAGAAAATAACTATTTTATTAATGTATATAGTCCACAAATAAAAATAATAACTCAGTTTGTCATTAAATCTTTTTTCAATTAACTTTAATAATTTCATTTCAAACTGTCCACCATAAACTGGAGTCAGAGTCGACGTGTTTTTAGCCACTCCAACTCCGACTCCTTTTACCCAAAAATCTGCCTAACTCCGATTCCGACTCCATGACTCTGTCTCCACAGCCCTGCTTTTTAGGATGGGTAAAATTAAGCTCACTATTAATATAATTACCTGCTTTTAATTTTTTATTTTATTTAAATAATGTAATAATATATTGGTGCACATATTTTGTAAAAAGTTTATTAATTTATATGAATGTGGGGCATAAAGGCTTTGGCAAATATACAATCTGTTAAAATTAGTAGGTAATACAGTAGAAGCTCACTGTAATGAATAAATCTTTTGGTCTTCTATAACTTTCTACACACTTAATGTTATTTTATACTGCTATATCAAACCTCCATAGAAATGAAAATCAGGTATGTGTAATGAATTATATGCATATTTTAAACTGCATTTTGTATTTTCATATTTTTTCCAGAATTTCAGCTAATTTAAATGAAAGATTTGCTAATCCTTAAAATCATCCATACTTGGTATGTTAGAGTCCACATTCAATCCATAAAGGAAAACAGTTTTATGTTATTTTTCTTCATGATCTTTATTTTTTA